GCAATTGGTGGGCGGTTATCATCATCGATAGAATTTGTCATCTACTTTATCACATGGTTAAAGTACTGTACATGGTACCATACAGGGACTTTTGGAGACTGGTATATTAAAGTCCAATTTCTCCATCTAATTTATCATGATTAGTTATAAAGAACCTACTTGAATGATTCAAATTCAATATTTAAGATGCATGTAAATTTATTTACTCATCTACCGAAAAGAGAGATACTTTGTCACGTTGGAGTTTTTCTGTAGTCGGAGTGACTAACATTTTACAGCATTTACTTTGATAGAGGGCAGAGTGGATCAAGTTCATGGGAGCTTTTGCAAATGCTGAAGCTAGAGCCAATGAAGTCTATACTGCAGTAAGAACACCACTCAGTCCAAGGCATAACTATTACTGTGTGACAAATACTTTTTTAACAAACTCTTACCATTATTATTATTCTGTAGCCTTATAGATTCTTCTTGTTTGCTAAGCTGCTGAAATCTGACACTAATGATTAATGATCAAAAGTCAAACAACTTTCGGATTAAATTTATTTGTAAGTTATCATGTGAAACCTCATATATCAAACATGTTCATGTCCTACTTCTTTCAACTTTTGAACATTCCGCCATTGAATTTTGAAAATGAAAATGTGGAAAGAAATAGTATCAGTTTGAATGGCTGCATTCCATTTCTTCTTTACCAAAATGATACCAATTAATGCTGAAATTTCTTCCTCATTCACCTTGACTGATACAAACAGAATAAATGTATTTGTATTTAAATTTCTCTCTAAGTTTCTATGTGCTATGCACATAAAACAAAAGTTGCACCTTTCAATCACACAATCACCTTTTCGGTTTTTTCTGTGCTAATTTCCTTGTAAGTGATTAACTTTTCTTATATATGTTGCTCTGACAAAATGGTTGGTATTTGTATAGGTTAAAGAGAACTATTTGTGCTTGGCTAAAATCGCAAAGTCGAGGACATCATTCAAACCAACAGTAGCATGGATGAAGTATGACAATGTATGTATCTCCAAAAGCAACATTCCATTATTAATCTTCTTTTCTACTTCTCTGATACAAATTTCTATATTCCTTTCTTCAGACATTTTTCGATTCCCAAATTATATTGCCAGTTAGATGTGATATCATCAAACTAAACACTTAAGAATAGACCATCTATTAAACACTTAAAAATAATTCCGTTTATTTTCTCTTTTAATTTTCTGGTGCCAATTTTCTGATACACAGATTTTATTTATTGGCAGAGCATGAGTTAACTTAATGATGTATAACTAACAACTGAAATGTCATCTTTGCAGGGAGTTTGGTCTTTTACAAAGGAGAAGTATCAATTAAAGGTATAATGAAACCATAGATAGCTATGGTGTAACCAATGTTTCCATGTCTCATATAAAACATCTATCTTGCTGTTTGATTTAACATCTAGCTTATTGACTCCATGTTTGAATTGTCAATATGTATGATTCTGTTTATACTTCATCTTTATTGTTCACTTTCTTATTATATTATTATTACTTCCTGAGAAGGCTCGGCTTTCCCTCCGAAAACAAACCTGCAAGCAATCCCTTAATATTTTTTGGTCATTCTAAATTTTGATACAAATTTTTGCAAACAGTACCTGGAAGATGCAGGTGGAGAGAGTGTGGATGCTTCTATAACCAAAAACACTTACAATGTCTCTAATCCTGATGATTTAGAGGAATTGCATGCCATCCTATGTGTAAGTTGAATTATGATACTGCATTAAATAAGAATCAAATGTAGTCTACTTCTGCACATTGAATGACTAACTTTTCACTGAGTAAATCTTATTTCTTCATGTAGACTGTGGAAGTAGTCATTGATGAAACATTAACTTCTGATCCGGCTAACTATGTGTTATCGACATTTCTCCAAAATCTAAATGTCGATGATCGTTCTTGTTTTTCCTTTCTTTCAAACACAAGTCTATGGAGATATGACAAAAGGATTCAAAGTTATGCAGCACTTGGTATGTAATTCCAATTTTATGCATGTGTCTCTTATATATATAGATATAGTTTTATGTTTTCATGTGAAGGTTCTCAATTTTAATTAGTGATGACAAAAACACTTTTCTACATGACTTTCATATTTTTTGTGTTGAAATTAGAGAGAGAAAGAAAGTCCTCCTTCTTTCAACAAGGATTTGTTGTCTCAAATTATGTCTGAAATCTTGTCCCGTACTAATGAAAACATGTCATGTCAATTAAAAAAAGAAACATTAATTATTTTTTCTGTTTTTTCTTCGTGAAGATTTTTATAATGAGGCAGTCTCCCAACCTCAATTGGTGCTAGCAGATCTTATTGAAGTTTTATTTCCCACTGGGAATTATACAATGACCTACTTTAGGAACCTTGCAAAGGTATGTTTTCAATGTTGAAAAATGATGAAAATGCATGCAACATGGTTTTTCATATTTTTGACCTCTCAAGTTATTCATGTCACCTTGCAGGGAGAAGCACTTACAAATATTGGTCCTCAAATGTGTGACAGGAACACCTCCACACCAATGGAACCTACAATAGTTGCATGTGCATGATTATTTATCAACTTCAAAAATAGGGTTATTGTGTTATTAATGCTATTCTTTTTTAAATTTCATATATTGAATACAGGATCTATACTTGTTTTTTATCTAGTATAAATATTTTGATTAGAAAGCCTTTCTTTATAATTCCCGGAAACAGTTTATTTGCTTGTCAAGGTTAGACTGCCGCTTAATCTATCCTCCTCGTACCCGACTAATGGATGGAAGCATCATCCACTAAACGTAAACATAAATATGACATTGCTTCTTTGTTTTGGTGACAATTTAGTTACACTTAGCTTTCTCTCTGTTGGAACAAACATCACATAGATTTACAAATAACATTTCCAACTGATGGCTATATCAAAGTAGGTTTTCCCCATATTTTGGAATACAATCAGTTTCTTAAAAGATATTACTAATATTTTTTGTGTGGTAATATTAAGGGTATTTGCCCCTTTATTTTTTGAATATGAAACTGATATTGTTATACTCAATAATTGTCGTTCATGAAAATTAAGATGTTACTACTATATTAGAACCTCCTTACTGATTTTATGAGCAAACCTTATCATTTGGCCTAGGTCAAACTTTTTTCAATAAGCAAGTCATATTCAGATTTTGAAAACATATTTAATTTAACCACTCAATTTGTTGGTCATTTAAAAGTTTATTAAATTTAAGCCTAACAAATTCGTCTATTAAATTATTTTATACTATTTAAATATATTTTCTATGAAATTTCAATATAAAAATGTAAAAACCATAATTTAATTTATAATATTAATGGACCTATTTAAAAGTATACTTGTTAACCTATTTAAAGGAGAATATATGCATATTTTAAGGCCTTATAGCATAAGATATATTTAAATAGGCTAAAAAGTTATACATGAGTTTTAATCAAGATTAGATATGGATTTTAATTTTTTTTAAAAGATAAAGAAAAAAGATTAGACTCAACATCCTTAAGGAAAATGAATTATCTAACCTATTTACATCCTAATGTATAATCAATGTTATTATACTTTCACTAGTGATTAACTCGGTTGATATTGTGCCAATGAGTTATATTAAAAAATTCTAAAAAACATAATACCAACTAATGTTATTTAATATATTTATACTTGAAATTTAACAACCTTATCATCACATACCAACTTAATTGAACAACTAAAAAGAATTTTTTACTAACACAAAATGCCATAAATAAATTGAAAAAAAACATAGATTTTATGCTTTATTTGCAAAAAAATAAGCATAAATTAGTTTAAAACTTTCTTAATCAACTATGTCAAACATAACCATAAATAAGTTGAGTGCACTATTTTTTTCTTTCAAAATGTCGTTTTGTTTTTTTCAAATTTGATTTTCTTAATTACTCCATTAATTTTATGCTTAAGTTGGATGAGTCGAGCTGAGTCTTCCCAATTTTACAACAATACTATTCAAATATGAATCTCGACCAAGATAAATAACTAATTCATAGTCCTATTCATATATCCAACCCAATTTTCATAAATATAATACATTCTAAATCTCTCAATTTAGTCGTGTAAGCTTAATAAATATAATTAATATCCCAATTTTCATTTGGTGAGAGTAAATTTGTATAAACAATCTTTAGTATTACTTTGATTTTCAAAGGAAGAGATTAATATAAAAAAAAAGTTCTATAAAGACTCTCATTTAGAAAATAATAAATAACAAAACTCTACCACAATAAACTTCAATATTCTCCCTATATAAAACATCAAAATCAAGGAAATGAATATTTTTGTACATATTCACACTTTGAGAGTGTGAATAATAAGTTTCATATCTTTAATATGCTATTTTATCAATTTTATATCACAAATTGATATCATCACTAATAACAATTTCAATTACTCTCCTTTTGTTTTAACAATGTTATATCACCAACGTATACCATTTTGAATAAGAAATTTCATCATAATTTCATATTCACATTTCTGAGTGTACTCATTTGATTTTTTTTATAGCTTTCAACAATATATATATTTATTATATATATATATATAATAAATGAGGAGAGATTCATTTACTAATTTTTTTTAAATTTACTCCACATCATAGTCATCAATTATAGGGAAATCTAATGGTTTAGATCTACTCATTAATCCAAACCAATGAATTTCCATAGAATTGATGGCTAAGATGTGGAGTAAGTTTAAAAAACTTACTTGAAGTAAATGGATCATCACCCATAATAAAATAACATATATATATATATATATATATATATATATAATAACTCTTATAAAGAATTTATTAACCAAATTTCGTATGGATACTAATTTTTATTAACGTCTGTTGGATATGGGCTTCCACAGAGGCCCATTGGGTCAATTCAACCGACCCGAAACCTCTTTCAAAACTAGGGTTTCTACGCTGCGCAAAGACCACGTCAAATTAGGGTTCCTTCCTCACTGTCCGCTTTATAAACACCTACACACTCTCCCTTCTCAATTATCCTCTCTCCAAATTTCAATCTTTCATGTCATTTTCTTGTTAGGTTTAGTTTCTTTCTTCTGGGTTTGCTTCTTTATGTTATAAAGCGCGTCAATTTACTGATTACCAGTTCTCAAACCCTAATGGGCTCTGTGTATGAGCTGACGCCATATCAAATTCTTCCTGCAATTTATTGTGCACTGTTTTTTCATCTCAGTTCCTATTGCAGTGTAGGGAAATTAATTCTCTTATGCTAACAAAATATCTTCAAATTTTCCCCTTTTCATTTTTTGTAGGTTATAATTTAATTGATTACTGATTTTTCTCTTTGACGTCTTTATTTTTTTGTTACAATTGAGTAGTTCTGTTGATTTGTTTGTATACTTAGTCTCTAGTAACAGTGTGAATGAATGGATGTGATGATTATTTCCCCAGATGATCGACGTTGATATAACTGTGCGATTTTATTTCTCTTTTGAGAAATCAAGCCAATTAATCTGATCCATATATGCATACAAACACTTAGTAAAGTTATGGGTTTTTAAGATTATAGTTGTATTAATAGCGATGTTTTGTTAGTTTGAATTTTTGTGGTTATATGGATCTAATGATTATTGTTCTGTAATTTGTTGCTTAGATGGATGTGATGATTTTTTCCCCAGATGATCGACGCTGATATTACTGAGCGAATTATTTCTCTTTAGAGAAATCAAGCCAATTAATCTGATCCATCTCTGTTTACAAAACAATTGCTAATTGTAATTGTAAGATTAATGAAATGTTTGGTACTGTTCCGTGTTTCAATTTCTATTGTCTATTACGAAATTCTTTATAAGAACTTTTATTTCATGTTTGATTATATGATTTTGGGAGGAGCAATTGAACAATGTGTTTGATTATTAATAAATATATATGATTGAATTCATCGATAAATGTAAATATAAATAATAAGCAGCTAGTATATGTTTCAATGATGGAAGTGATGATTTTTTCCCCAGATGAACGACGTTGATATTACTGTGCGATTTATTTCTCATTAGAGAAATCAAGCCAATTAATCTGATCCATCTTTTGATCCAAACAGTAGCTAAAAATTTCTAATTTTAATACAAATATTTCCCAATTGTCAATATTACTGAAATGTTTATTATGAATTTGTGATTGTTTGGTAATTATTTATTGGAAATGTGATTTAATGTGTGTATATTGGAGAATTGAGCAAAGGGGTATGTGGTCTCTGAAATGCATATACTCATCTGCTTTTAGATGCTTTCTCCAGATATTGAAGTGAAAAGCAGGAGTTTAATGCTTGCTCTGCTTCCTGTGTGGATAACAAGTTTGGCTCTTCTGCAACATATTTTCTCATTGAACATGTTTTCATTGGTAGTGCTGCTTATCTTAATTTTTGTAGTATTACATCCAACTTAAATTTGGGAGAGGCATTCTGGATGTCGTTAGTGAGACAATTATTAAGAATTGTTAGAGAATATAGGTAATATCTTGTTTAGTTGGGAATGTCAGAGGTTGATTCCTAATATCATCATGGGATTATGTAACTAAACCTTAAACCATTTTAGTTTTCTTCTGAAATTTCCCATTGAAGCAAGATTTGGACTGAATCACGGCTGAGTAATAAATTTCATTTACACGTAATCCTAAGATTAAAGGGTCTTCACAAAAAAAAGGTGGAAACAAAAAATCAACAACATAGGGAAAAATATTACCAAAAATTTAACCAAAATTTGTAAGATGGGTTCAACTCCTATTAATTTTGTAATCTATAACTGTTTTCAATTAATAATTTGACCGGTTGGTTGTACCGCCTGATCTGGTTTTCGAAGTATTGCTATATATATATGAGTGACTTAAATGATAACCATTCTAATGAAATTTAAGAGAAAAATAAATTAATGTCATATACTTTTATATATATATATATATATATATGTATGTATATATATGTATGTATGTATATATATGTATGTATATATATATATATATGTATATATGATTAAGATTAAATTAGTTAATAGTAATATGTTTAAAATTTAAAGGTTAGTTAATTATTACATTATCATTTAGATTTTAATCTTTACTATAAAACTAGGTTTCATTGATTAAATATTAATTATTCTAAACTCTTATATTAAAGTCATTTTGATTATGTACCTCAATGTTGTGAAACGGATGTCAAGCCCGAAGAACTTCCGTATTAGGTCTAACCGGTTTAACCAGTTAAGCCGTTCGGTTGGACCGAATGATTTTAAATATAATTAATAATTTTATCTATAATTATATATAATTGTAAATTTTATATAATTAATAATTTTATATAATTATATTGAAGTATCATCTCTCTATTATTTTTGGACTGAAATAAACAAAAAATTAGAGTAATGTTTCATTTTTTTTTAAATTTTAAGTGAGCCGTCCGGTTATTCTCATGGGTTATTCTGGTTTAACCGGGTTTAGCACGGGCGAATCGGAATTTCTCTAGTTCAAAGCGGTTCAACTACTCATTCGGTTAAGACTATAAAATGGAGCTGTTTTTAAGTCCGGTCAGCGATCAAACCGGTCGGACCGTCCGGTCTGGTTATTACAATACTGATGTACATGCATATACGTACAATCATTGGCTTATCAACTTAATTTAGTAACTTCATTTTTAAAATGAATTGAAGAGAAATAAGATATATATCAAATAATGAGTTAATTTAAGGAAAAAGTTATCTTGTGATGAGATATTTTATTCTCCTAATAACATAGAGATATGATAAATTATTCTATAAATTATTAGGTTTATTAACGATACAAGTGATGTGTCACAACATGTAAGGGACATGTTACAATACATGAAGTTTGGGATTCAAAGGGACATCTAAGAAACACGGTTTGGAATTGGTAGTTGTGGAGATTTTGGTTTGGCGGGTCATATTAGTGGCCGTTGTTACGTTTCCCTTCATAACCATCATGTTGATGCCTTCAACCTTATTTATTTTAAATAATAAGGAGCAACAAAACTCCTACCGTGTGCATTTAAAATTGTAAGTTCTTTTTATTTCAACATAGTCAGAAAAGTTTTTCTGAATTGATGAAGCTTGTTTTGGACTTGGATCCTCATTGTGTGAGTTCTTGTTATTGTTGATGAAAACTATTGCTTTCTTTTATTGATCTTTTTTTATAATATTGTAATACTGAACATCTTTCTGTTTTATTTTTCTGTTCAATCACAGATTACTTTTTTAGTTAAACTTATTCGGTTGCTGGAACAGTGGCTTCCAGGACTTGTATTAGATAAGAGACTCTTACTTTGCTTAGTTTGGTTGTATTGTCTTAGTTTTTCATTGAAGACATTTTAATGGCTATATGAATGATTATGATTTTTGAAGTAGAAAGTAAGGTAAGTACATGAAAGTAGCTAGAACCCATGAGTATAATTTGGCTGCATGAGAAGTGCTTGTTTCATCTTATCCTCTTACTCCACTATGTGGATTCTATTATTCCTTCTATGTCAAATTATATGCAACTAATATTTGGAGGAGTGATATGTATTTCTTATACTATATTCTGGCACTTAAATCAACTCATTTAATTAATTTAAGACTGATGATAGTTATATTAAGTAAGGTTTCACTTAATAAAAAAATTGTAGAAGATTGATGTATTTATTAAAGTTAAGGCTTGAAATTTGTCCCTTGACAAAGCTTTTAGGAAGAAGGTAATTGAGATTTTCAAATGGTGGAGAATAGTGGAGAATGTGAATAAGTAATTTGGAGTGTATGAATAACTTACTAATTTGTATCACTATCATTATTATAATACTAAATAATTAATTCTCGGTTAAAACTACAAACAAAAGTTGTTGACTAGTTGGACCAGTACATTTATTTAATGTGACAACAAATGAAACCCATATTTTTTTATTGTGTGCAGCACATCCACTTCCACACATTGATCAATAACATCAATGCAACCATCATTCTTCTCACACTCTTTTCCTCTTAATTGCAACTTCTAATTGGTAAAAAAGACTTTCTCTCTCCCTTAATGGATGAACAAGGATCACTGTCCTAAGAGATTGATGTCTCCATGTCTCAGGCCTATCGCATTCTACCAAGTAATATAAAAAATATTATTTTATGTTTTTTTTAATTTTCTTTTTAATTGTGTGGTAGATTTTAATTAGGTTGGTACACGCTTGAGACACTAAAAATGGGACAGGTGATCTTCATTCAATCGAGATGATCTTTTTAGAAATAGTAACATATCATTATACATTAATCAATGAGCTAAGTCCTTTACTTTCTTCCAAGCTGGCCTACTTGAAATTTTCTCCCACCAAGCATTCACATTCTTCCTTTTAGTCACCAAGTGTCCCAATTTGGCATCCTCTATTAGATGGTCAATCCCTGGAAGGTGACTAAGATCAGCTATACTAAACTTTTCCCCAGCAAGATAAGTGCTTTCTGAGAGCCTTTTTTCATACACATCAAGCACTTTTTCTAGCTTCTGTTCACAGCTATGAGCCAAGTTCAAGTCCCCAACTTGACCCATCTTTGGAAGTATAACAAGCTGAAGCATTATATTGAAACACAAATCATTGAAATTGTGTGCTTCCACATCAAGCCATTGGTCCACCAAAGCCTTCTCTTCTAAGGTTGTACCCAATAGGTTAGGACCATGTTCTGCATATTTTGCTGCATAGTACCTTACTATTGCCCTTGATTCTGCATTTAAAATCCAAACATAAGTTTGATTTTAGTTCCTAAACTTTTTGTTAACAAATTTCTTACTATATGGTTTTTTTATGAAGCTGTCTTGTAAGGGTATAATAATGCATTATATGATAGTGTACATTTTCTTAAATGGAGTTATTAAAATAAAAAATATTGTTGAGGCTTCTTACCAAAGAGCCTGAAATCACCATCCTCCACAACAGGAACTTGACCAAAGGGCTGCATCAGAAATCTAACTCTCAATAGGGAGAAATTAAATCAAAGAATTTGAATTTTATAAAATGGCAAAAGGTTGAGTGATACAAAAGCCTAATACATGGTCTCCATAAGCTGTCTAGAGAATAAAATTATTAACTAATCAATTGCATACATGAAATCACTAAATATCTCATTTAATTATAAGAGTGTAATATTTATGCATTGTCAATATAAAGATTTATACACAGTGAATGCGTCATCCAACATTCATTTGTATTGTATTATGTTCTATGTATAATCAATGATGATAAAATTTGAATGATGAATGATGAAATGACAATGTAGAAGTATGAGTCGGTAGAACTTTAGACATTGGATAACCAAATTAAGGTATGTTCACTTCACCTGTAGAAGAAGAAACTCAGGTTTTTTTTGTTCTAGATGATCAAGATCAACATGAACAAGTTCAAATTCTACACCTTTTTCTATAAGGCAAGCTAACACCCTTTGAGGGCAAGCTGCCATTGCTGGACCATAAACCTTCACCACCATTTTCTATGCTTTGTTATACAAATTGAAAGCTTCAAACTTTGTGCTGAAAAATAAATGCTTTGAGTGATTTTGACCTCTTTTTTTGCCACAATATATAATAGTGTAAACTAGTAGAATATCCCCATTTAGTAGCTTAAAATTTTGCACTTAACTGTCCAAACGGCAGTTCCAACTAACATGGGGGTTGTCACGTGATGACTTTCATCCATTATGGAATGTTTGTACCTGAAAATACATTGGAATTTTTTGTACCCATATTTAAATTTAAATTTTAGTTGGGAAAATACTAAATAAGTGTTAAGCTTAATGAGATTTGTTAACAAAACCCTTAATTTTTAAAAGTTATAAATGACCAATAAAAAATTTAAAACTTGAAGTTAACTATTGGTTTAAGTCAAATGTCAACACCAACGTACTCACCATCAGATTTGCTCCTCCATTACAGGAGAGTCCAATGCATACCTAGGATTAAAACATGTGTCATAAATAAAATTTCAATGGCCCAGATTTTAAAATATTTTAAATTATTATTTTTATAAAAAGTATCTTTTCTCACATATCCAATACTGGAGAGTCCAGTACCAGAGAGGAATCCAATTCACTCACCATTCTTTGTCGGTTTCGTTTACCGGTAGATGGCAACTCCTCACTAATGCTTTAATAATTGAGATGGATACGAGTGTATATAACTAGTGGTTATGTGATTTTCTAGATTAGTTTTGAGAATAAAGTATCTCCTCGTATTATGAGATAATTATCTCATCCAGCCAGTAAAAGAATGACATGTGTATTGTTTTGTTTAGTTTTAGAAATATTTTTGTAAAAAGTAATTAAATGATACACATATTGCGATTTTAGTGGGCAGAACTGAGGGGTATTTACTTGATGCTAACTCTAGTTTGGAGTAAATGTTTGAGGAAATTAATACTTGAAAGTGATTGTCACTTAGCTACGAGCATGATTAACAATGGTTGTGATCAATTTTATGATTATGTCTATTTGGTGGATGTTATTAGGACCCGGTTAAAGATTGGATAATTTATTGTGTTCGGATTCATAGGGAGGCAAACCATGTGGTGGATTTCATGGCCAATATATCGCATGATTTGGATGTGGGAACTCACCTTTTGGAGCTTCCACTAACTAGGAGTAAGGATTTGCTTTTCTTTGATTTTATAGGAATATATTTTCCTACATTTGTCTTAGCTTAGTCTGTTGTTGAGGTTTATTTCAAAAGTAGTTGGCAAATGAGAGAAGTAGATACGTGCTTAAACTTTAAATGGATAATGATATATTTGATTTGAGATTTATTTTCCAACATGTCTCATTCAGGTAAGTCTGTCGGGTCAAACAATATATTACTTTTGCATAT